AGTCATCCGTTAGCACCAGGATCACCCTCACCCAAGTTGAGCAGTACTTTGTTGTGTTCGCCTGAAGGTACCCCGATACAGATTTAAAGAGCCTTATAGATCAGCTTACACAGCTGAACCTGTGGCAGAATTTGTATTTAGCTTACTGCATGGTTTGTTCCTTCAGACTGTATTCTTTTCCTAGCATTTCTACATTTTAACTTTATTTTTGCACCTGGTAAGAACCAGACAACTTTATAAAGCAATACCTAGTTGTAACTTAATTATTACAAGCTTCTTTTGCATTTTGTATATTTGCAAATTTTTACTCTTAGCCAGGCACCAAAAGACAATTTAATTAAATTTAAGGTGCAAGACATTTTCTTCCTCAAGAGAGAAAGATTTATTGGAATTGGTTCATTTCAATTCTTACCTGGCACAAATCCACTGATTTGTTTTAGTCCCTGAGAAAGCGATTGGTTAGAGATGTCTGCATCTACTGAAAGAAGCGGTTGATTTCTGGCAGTGGCTTTCAGAGTGTTTTCTGCAGAGAAGTTTTCATCTGTGTTTTCTGTCAGTCCTACAGTCCTTTGCTGGGTAGTGCCAAGAGCCACGTGAGTCACCGTCTTCCGGCCTGGGCCGACTGTGTTAACAGAAACAAAAATCATAGTTTTTATATAGAATTGAAGGGAATGGAAGTGTTCTTATGGAAGACCCTGTGATATGGGCCTTGAGGCAGGCTAAACAAGTTCATCAGGTTCAGACATGATGAAATGTGAGTTCCAGATACACAGCAAGTTAACAATTGCTTGCTGTCAGTTCTTAAGCAAGGGTATACACATGAACCCTAGAGTGAAATCCAGCAACTGACATACCAATGAAAGAGTGGTTAGCCATCGTGCCAATTGACCTGCTGATGATTTTTGTTCACTTAGCTGAGCATGGGTACATACTAAGGATGACTAATGAAAGCGAACAGAGCGATGGTGAATCAACCGGTTCCCCTACGTGCTCACATTTCCAGTGCTTCAGATTCTTGCAAGGTACGTAGCTGCACGTTGAAGCATACCTCTGAGACACCTTTTCAGATCAAGACCAGGGTCCTTGTTCCCAGAATCATCATGCAAGTAAAGAACTGATCTTTTAAATGTTGAGAACTCTTAACACAAAGTCTGTCATTGGGTGACCTTTGATGGTTTTGATATGCTTTGAAGAAAAGGGAGTTAATTTCTGAGCATCTGCTGTACACAGACATTAAACCTTCGCATGTGCTATTTCCAGCGAAAGGCTCTACAGTGGGCGCAAGCTGCTTGCTCACGGGGAGAGAGGCCACCAAAGGGGGATCACTTCCCTTTGGTCATTCAGGCCGCAGTTACTTTCACAAGCTACCCTGTGGTCTGGTGCACTTACAGTTCTGGCAGAAAGTTTCATCCGATCCATCAGGGCACTGTCTCACGCCATCGCAAGCAAACGTGATGTCAATGCAGCAGCCATCATCACACAGAAACTGGTAGCGAGAGCAAACCCCAACACAGGCTGTTGAGAAACAGTTCGCAAATTACCAAAAGAGAAATCCAAGCAGTAAATGCTGAGTCAATGACTAAAATCTGCAGCACCAAGGAAAAGGCAAAACCACACTATGTCGAGAAGGACCACGAACAGAGCAGAAAGTTGAAGAAAGGCCAGGCTCAGCTATATGCTGCTTTATTGACACAGAAGCTAATATAGCTAATAGCTGTTCCTGGCACCCTCATCACTATTCCGGCAATCTCTTTACTACAGGAATACTCAACCTGGAGGCTGTTGCACCTTACACCTTGTGCAGCACCGCTACAGCACTTTAAACTCTGCTGGCCTAAGCTGAAAGGAGATCTTCCCAGGCTTAAAAGACCCACGACAGTCCTGAAAATAAATAAATGAAATCTCTGTGGCTTTAACTGCGTCTCTCCAACACATAATTCCTACTAAATACCCATTCGGTATTTCTGACAATATGTTATTTTACATGCACACATATGGACTATATGGGATCTTTTAAGAAATGTTTTCTGCAACCTGATTAAAATACTAAAAGAATGCTCGTCATTTATTTACACCAGCAATGTAAATCCAATACAGCACATGGCAGAACAGGACTAAGCACAAGGTCTCACAAGTGACCTTCACCAGAAAGAACTGATTGCTGTCTGCTTTAATATTTAGATTCCCCTGGAAATGGAGAGTGTCCCTGGACCTTTCATTTTGCATACTCAAAGTTTTCCTGAAACCCATTCTGACCTTTTAATTATCAAGTGTTTACATCTGTGCTTTTGTCTTTCCAACAGCAGTGTAGTTCATTGCTTTGTAAAGCACTATCAAATTCAGTGTTTGGTTAATGTTATAACAGCAAATCGACTTGCATAAGGAAGTCACAGCCTTCGGTTGTTATCCTGCTTATGTACCGAAAAGCTGTGCAATGCTAAGGAAAGTACAGCAGGAACACAGGCGCCTACTTAAAACCCCTAAAACCATACTTAGAAAATGCATCTCCTAAACTTCAGCACTAATAATAGCACCGGTCTTGCATGCATTAAGGCACTGTGGACTGGTTTAACTATAGCAGTAGCACTTGAATTGCAAATGGACTTGGGGAACTAAAAGAAGAGGAAAGGCAGGAAATCCTCTATGTGCTCCACCCAAAAGATACCACAGATACCCACAGCAGCAAATAAATAAATCAGCAAACCTCTCTGGCTGCTTTAGCTGAACTAAATGTTAATGAATACGACTCTATCATCCATTACTGGAATACAGGCATTATTAAACAGACTCACAATGGGTTTTTTGTAATACCAACTTATTGCCGCTGGGACTACCCTCTCACTGGTGCAAAGCAAAGTTTTTACTAGTTCAGCTGAACATAGTCATGATGCTAGTTTAACCTTTGTGCCAGAGCAGCAGATCTCTATTAGCAACTTGCTCATTACAATGTAATTAGAAGTTATTACATTAAAGAGTGCAGAATTGACAGCCACTGAAATCTAACTTACTTTCTACCTGTTATGTTTTTTACATGTTTCTTGAGCTCAGAGTTTTAAAATGATGGGTCAATTCTAGTTTCAGTTTCCCCAGTAACATAAGGCTTCGATAACAACCATTACACAGAAAAGCTTAAATGCATGAAAACAAGAAACCATCCCATCTTTCAGACTACAGATGCAGGCCAGTACTATTATTAGTTTGTGTGTCACACCTACAATGAACTGCTTTTCACTGGGTCTTCCCCATAGCACAAGCCTTGTCACGTTCCACGCACCATCTGACTATGCCATGAACTGTTAACGATGTGCCTGATAGATAGGGCAGTATTTCATTTTTCCAGCCCTGCATGCTTATTAGCAATACAAGGCTGAGCATTTAAATGCTTGAAGGTTATTACTACAAACAAGTGATGCTTGCTTCCTCAGTTTGAAACAGCAATTCAAAACTGAACGAGATGTCCAACCCAAAGCATTCTATGATCTATGATTCTATGTAAAGAATAAGGGCAAAATAATACACTAGAAATGGAGAATAAGATTTCTGCCTCCATCAAGACCCTTGCTCTGAACATCACACCCTGGGTGTCGCACAGGCAACGGCTCCAGTCATTTTCTCACCTACTGCAGAATGAACCATGGGCAGAATGGTCACAGAGACGTTGTCAGAGCTCCGCTGACCTGCAGTGTCTGTCACAGTTAGCTGGAAAATATACCCGCCTTCCTGGACGTGAGACAGTTTCAGTGTTCCTGGCTGTGGTACCTGATTAAAGAAACACAGCAAAGAAAAAAAATGGTATAAAGGATCCACCCATAAACTTCTAGGAATAGAGAGCTCCTATCTGTATGACGCTTTTCATGCAGGTGTGCTGGTTTTGGCTGGGACAGAGTTAATTTTCTTCACAGCAGCTAGTATGGGGCTATGTTTTGGACTTGTGCTGAAAATTCTTGATAATACAGGGATGTTTTCACTACTGCTGCGCAGTGCTTACACAGAGTCCAGGCCTTGTCTGCTTCTCACCCCACCCCACCAGCGAGCAGGCTGGGGGTGCACAAGGAGTTGGGAGGGGACACAGCCGGGACAGCTGACCCCAACTGACCAAAGGGACATCCCACACCATGTGACGTCATGCTCAGCATATAAAGCTGGGGGAAGAAGAAGGAAGGGGGCAGGGGGACATTCGGAGTGATGGCGTTTGTCTTCCCAAGTAACCATTAAGCGTGATGGAGCCCTGCTGTCCTGGAGATGGCTGAACACCTGCCTGCCGATGGGAAGCAGTGAATGGATTCCTTGTTTGGCTTTGCTTGCACGTGCGGCTTTTGCTTTACCTATTAAACTGTCTTTATCTCAGCCCATGAGTTTTCTCACTTTTGCTCTTTTGCACTTCTGCCCTTCCCCATCCCACTGGGGGAGTGAGCAAGCGGCTGTGTGGGGCTCAGTTGCCAGCTGGGATTAAACCACGACAGCAGGTTAAATACTTCTCTTAAGTCTAATCAAGCATGTGTATCAACCTGCAATGTTTTGGTCTTTTTTTTGCATCCATTTGTGAAAATAAACATGCTTGACATTTATGTACTGTTTTTCATGGTACACGCTATTACCTGGAGCTGTGGATCTTAGCAATGGAGAATAAACGGAAACATAAATTTAATTCAATTTTTCAGTAGTTAGAAATATAATTTCAGAAGGTAGGCAGTAAAATATTTTGCTCTCTGTCGAGTTAGTCTTTAGACAATATACATGTATTCACAGAAGTTACTTTTGCTATGCATTGATTTATGATAAGGTGACTGATAGCATTGCTTTATTAACAAGACTGCCCACCTCTGTCCAGTATGACATTTAATCTAGTCACTTGCAACTTTTACAAATTGCCAGACTGAATTTTTCCATGCCCCACGCTGAATTTCCATGCCTTGCTCTGAACGGCAAATAATTTCATCTATAGTGAGTGACCTAAACATTAGGTTTCAGAAAATCATGTGAGAGAGAGATAAACAATTTAATTTGGATTAGATCATTTAAAAAATAGTAAAATAACTTATTTTATGATAATTTAAAACATGTGCCAAACTGCAATTACTAGTACAATGGTCACTTAGAAATAAGTTTGTATAAAATGAGTATGATATTTGCATCAAATGCTGAACTTTCTCTTACCTTGTGACAATTACTAGTCACAAATAACTCCAGCTGTCTGAGAATTCAGTGACACATACTTCAGTAACTACAAAGCTCTGCAGGTTTATTCGACATGTAGCGTATTTTTACAAATGAAGCACACAGGGCTGTTATAAATAACTGTAAGGCACATGAAAAGCTTCTGTGACTATCTTTAATATTAAAACCAAAATTCAATAAAGACCTTTGGTTTTGCTTATTTGAAGTTGGGTTTCATGCCTAAAAGAGAACACAAATTTTCAATAATAGAGTCCTAGACCTAGCTTTACAGCAGGGTGTATTGATAAATTCATTTTTCTCATCTGGTGAGTGAATTTCCTAACTGAAATTTTTTTCCTTTTCTATTGATCTGAATGCACTCAGTTATCTGATCTTGCTGTTGATTACCTCCTCATGGAATGTATGACACCTTAGAATTTTATTCTTTATTGTATTACAGAAATAAATATGCTCCAAAAAACACCTGCTGCTGTTCACTGTGACTGCTGGGAGAGCAAATATGGTATTTAAAACTCACGAGCCGTGGAGTCCAACTCTCTTCTCAGTGCAGAGCCAGAGAAACACCACTGACCTCTGAATACGCCGCCACTCCTCCTGGCAACCTCTGTGCTTTTCTTTTTATTTCCGTCCTGCCCTGAAGAATGCCTGACTGTACCTTTCTTACAAACTTTGGCTCAATCTAGACAGTAAATTTCCAGATAATCAGCATTTTAAAAAGCCCAAGAATTGCCCACAAGTGTCACAGAGCTGCACAGCTACAGGATGTGGGTAGCAATCTGAGAAGCAAATTATCTAAGTAGCAATAATCAGTCACAATAGAAAAAAAAATTTCCATTGGCTTTCTTCAATACGATAAGATCTCTTTATAACAGTCCTTCCCCTCTCCTGCACCTTCTATTTACACTTTGGTATGTAAGTGCAGTGCAACAGCTGCCTTTTATCTTATTTAAACACAGCCCCATTCTCCCTCGTAGCTATGGATTCATATACAGTTTCCTAAGAATAGATGACATGAAATCCAGTAACTTCAGGATAGCAACTAAAGCACTAAAGATAGCAACTGAAGATTGTACGAACAATCACAATTATTAACTCAACTCTAAAATTTAATTAAACTATCATGGATAATCGTCATGGTATATATCTGTGAGAGAAAACCCTGCCCAGTTCAACACAATGGAAACGTATCTATCTAAACATAAATCTGTGTCAAGGTATAAAGGAATTGCCAAGATTAATGTGTTTTGCAGGCTTAATAAATATAAGACTGGTCTCTATTTTTGGAGTGACTCTGAGTAAAAGTAAAAACATGAACTTTAAATTTTTTAACTAACTTCTAATTTTTGTGTTACTCTAGACGTATTACTACATCACAGATGAAGAGTATTTGATTGCTATTTACAGAAAATAATGCTGCAAAGGGTCAGATTAACAACTCTTGATAATAAAATGTTTGCTTTATCCAGGTGATATTTAGCAACTACTCTTAAAGCTTCATTCAGGTCTCTTCTATGTATTATGCTGTTTGTACTCCTTACAAAAGCCTTTTGACTTTTTAATTTTCAAGCCAGTAACATAATAAATTAAGATAAACAAACTCACAGTGGTCTTTGACATAGTTTCAAATTGCAATACAGCCTCGAGTAATTCAGAACTGGCTGACTGTAGCCACCCTTCCACAGATGTGAATCATGCAGTAGAAGACAAAACTTGCAAAAGTATGTAGCACTGGTTTAACTCATCCTTTTGAATACTCCTGCTGTTTTTTCTGCAAGGAGTAAGGTTATAAAAAATTACTTGTACGTACATTTCAGTAACTACTCACCAGAGAAACCCAACTGTCTTCCTAGGGTTCATCCAGCAGCCTGTTTCCTAACCGTGACATGGTGATTTTCAATTACCTACACATTACCTACACTGCCCTCCAGGAGACTAAGGAATAACCAATTGTTCTGTTGAGTTTTTCCATGGATGACAATTTTAGGTTTCAGTGCATTTAGCTAGCTCTTTATGTTAGTCAAAACTCTGGTTTGCTCCATCCTTACAAATCTTGAGTAACTTTGCTGATATTGGTTTGTCCAACTTGTCTTTCATGTTACTGAGCTGAGCAGACATAAGCAGCAACTGTCAGGTACTGCTCATGGTGGCACTGATACACATGGCCTCTTGGGTTTTGGATGGTTCCCGTTGCTCATCCTGTCCTGTTTAAACTCTTCCTAGCCATCGACAGCACCTCAGCAACAGCAAGGTTTGTGGTCCGCACCCTCTCCCCTTTAACATGTCCCTCCTGCTGCTCTAGGTGGAGACCCTGCCGAGCCCTGAATATTGTGGGCTATGAAGAGACTGTGAGTAGACTCTATGGGTTTGAGACATTTTTCCTTTCCTTTTCTGCTGCTCCTAGAGCATGCACAAAGAAGGGCAGGATGGAGAATCCCTCTCTTGACGGTTAACTTTAAGTTGAAACCAAATTGCACAGATGCACAGAAATTGTACAGATGCAATAAAACAGTATCTCAAGATATCTTACAAGGTCTACATCACACATTTCTTTGCAGTTTCTCCATAAGCGTTGACAGAAGACTGTTGGTGAAAATATCTTACTATTTTTAGTAACTGAATTACTAAGGTGTCTCTAACCTGGATCACAGAAGCCAAAAACCAAAGCAGTGAGCACAATGGCAAAAGAGAGCAGAACTGAAATACAGTAGAGTATTAGCATCTACTGGTTTGCTACTGGCTGTCTCATGCCATCCTGGACACAGATAAGCTGTATAAAACACTAGAAATAATCACTGGAACAACCTCCCCAGGGATGTGGTAGAGTCCCCATCACTGGAGGTTTTCAAAATGTGACTGGACAGGGCACTAGAGAATCTCATCCAAGCTCCTTGACCCACAAAAGGTTGGACCAGATGATCTTTCAAGATCCCTTCCAGCCTGGGCTGCTCTATGGTTCTATGAAATAAATGCTCAAGTTGTACAGTCATCCTAATTTGGGCACCTGGTAGCCATATCCATTTGAATACATTTAATATTTTTAGCTCTACATTTTAAACCGTGCTATAATGAACACAACAATCTGCAAATGGCTGGCCATGTGCAAGGTTGCATGTGTACCTTCATTTCAACCGATGAGTCACCTTGCAGCAGCGTCCACTCGTACTGCACAATTCCGTGGTCATCTGAGCTTTCTCGGCCATCCAACAGCACCCAGTCGACAGGTGACTGCAGCACAATATCTTGTCCTGCCTTGCAGCGGGGAGGCTCATCGTATTCCTCTTCTTCAATAAAAAAAAAAAAAAAAGAAGCTCAGTTATTTACGAGGGGAAGCTGAGTGATTATTTATATAAAACATATTTTTTTCTTGGTTAAGGTATTGATTCACCACTGTGCAACCTCCTGAAAGACAGGACAGGTTCATTAGTGCACATTTTGTTAAGCGAAGTACCATCTACTTAAATTTTAGTTAACTGTTCCATATTCGGTGATCTCTTCAGGAAATAACTGCTATGTTAGAAGCACATGGCATAAAAACCTCTCTGTGTACACGGATGTTTAATACAACAGGACTGTTAGCATCAGTGTGGATTTTAATCTGAACTGAGGAAAATGGATTTAAATATGAATTACATACATAGTCAGATGGCAGTTACTGCACACCTTTTATAGCGCTCTGCATAACTTAATACTCTTTGAGTCTCTTTTTATAATACATCATTACAGGAGTGAAAGACTTATTTAACATAAGCTGGCATTCTGGTGAAGCAGTGCACAATAACATAATGATTAAAAACAATCAGAAATGACCACTGATTTTAAGTGCCTAATTTAAGACATTCAAAGCTTAATTTTTCAAAGTATTTTGGATTCACAGCATTTTGCTATATTCAAAGTACAATTCCTTTTGATTAAAATTGTGAGTACTAAGTACTTTTGCCAATCCGACCACTAGGTTTTGTTAGACTAACAAAACCCATGGCCTGTGCAAAGTGGTTTAACTCATTTGCTCTGCAGCTTTCAGGCAGTGCAGGGAAGAGAGATGGATAAAATCTGGTCCTACAAGTCAGCATTTGACAACTTTAGCCACAAGATCATATCTTCCTGCAGTTCCCTGCCCGAGTTTCATTCCTTCTCTGGGCATGGGATGTTCCTGGTACCCTGAAGCGCCAGGGTGCTTTCTGCTCTTGACCCCTGCAAAGATACCCTGTAAAGGACATTGATGTCAAGCATCTACTGAACGCAAGGCTGTAACCTCACTCAGTGTGTGCAGAGCTGCATAAGGAAAGAAAAGGCGGTTCCCCATCACTGTAGGGATTCTCCCTTGCACGTGCTCCTCTCCATTTTCAAGAACTTGCTCGAAGACACAGAGCTCACTGGAGCAGTGAGACAATTTTTCATCACTGACTAAACAGCAAACTTTTTATTTCTTGTTTTTCTCAGAGGTTTGTAAGGCATAGGAAATTTCAAGGCAAATGCGTTAAGTTAGGAAAATGTACAAATAACTGAAAACAGGGTCTAATAATAGAAGGCATGAAACAGTTCTTGCTCATCCAGCTGGCACAGGAAGCTTTGCATAATTTGTATACACTCAGTTCTCAAAACCAACTATGTTTAAAAAGCAACATTTAGGTGCAAAAAAAAAAAAAACCCTCACTGTTAATAAACACCGTCATTATGGCGCCAGGGCAACTTTTACTTGGTATATGTGAGTTACATACAGTCTTCACATGATTATTTACTTTACCAGTCACTGTCAAAAAGAGACCGACCTGGGTCTGAAACAGCACAGCCCATGCTTCTGCTTCTACCTTGGAAAGTGGTTTCATGTCACCTGTCTGGTATAAATGACTTGATCAATGCCCTGCAGGGGCAGAGACAAGCCCCGCTTCCCCTGGGCCCTAAGCAATAAGGATCTTCTCTTCCCAGACTAACTTCATACTCCAGCAGCCTGAGTTGCAATGGCAGGACCACTTCACGTTGGGGCAGCTCACGTAAATTCATGCCAGCTTTTTGCTAAAGATGAGTGAGGGACCACACTCAGGCCTCTAGTCCCAAAGGATGGAGGTACCAAGCCTTTGCCTGTAGAAGACCAGAACATGCTCAGAAAGGCAAATCAATAGCAATTCAGCTTGTCTCTTGCCCTAGCGAAACAAAAACTGGCCTGAGAGAGACATCTGGTATGGGAGGAGACAGCCTATTGAGCTGAAGACCCTTTTTCCAACAGCATTATCCTTAGAGAGTGAAACACCTCCAAATCTGGGGAATACATGCCAAGAAGTCATCATTAAAAAGCAAGGGGGCATACTCAGGAGCCACTTAAAACCACTGCTCATGGGAGTAAAGGACTATCAGCCACAGGTTAGCAGAAAAAACAGGCCCCTAAAGCATCTTTTAACTTCTGTTTCTAATGATTATTTAGATTGAGCATAAATAAGCAAGATGAAACTGATATACCAGAACAACACTCTGAGATGCTGGAGCTGGCTGCTTTTAGAAAAGGGGCCGCAACTTTAAGAGCAACCTTTTTCCCTAGGGGGGGAACACAACAGGCTTAATTTGTTCTGCTTCCTCCACCCTTTATACAGACTTGGCCTGCCAACAATGAAGCTGCCAGCCAGTTGTCTGAATGAAGACTTTGGTTTTTTTACTACCGATTCCTGAATTTGATATCAGTCTACCTTTGTGTTGAATCCTCCATTGCTCACCACTAGTGAGTATCACAGAAAGAAAGTCAGACATTTCTGATGAGGCACTCAAGTCCTCTTTTCTTTCTACATCAAAAATTAAAAAAATTACCTAATGAAGGCAAAAAGGATTACCTCTTCTTTCAGTATAGGCATATGGGGTTTCATTGTTAACCCAGTACAAACTGCCTGGAAGTGCAAAGTAAATCCACAGCTAAACCAGCACAAACTGGGTGTAAAGTGAAGGGCTCAGATTTACACTGGAATGTTCAGTCCAGAAATTCATTCCACTGCTGACTGTTCTTGAAGTACACAGAGATACACTTGATCTGAAGAATACATATCTGTCATTAACGGCTCCCAGAATTAAATATGCAATTGGTCTTGGTTTACTGAAGATATTTAACATAAATGAAACCACAACACCCTAGAGATCACTGTATACTCAGTGATATTATATATCACTATATATATATATATCTATCTCAGAAATATTTTGGAATTACGAATACACCATGGTTATGGATAAATGTTGGTTTGGGATTATAAAAAAGAAAACGGCAGAAGACTCAACACCACACTACTCCGAAAGAAAAAGAACAGGTAAAATGCGATTCCCTTGTGACAGAAAAATCTTGAAATGCAAAGCTCTTTCCTCTATTTCCTAAATTCAGTCATGGGGTGACATAAGGCAAAAGAGTTGTATCTTCATCACCCGGTGATGCATTGCTGTACAGATTAATTTTTCAGTGCAATTCAAGAATGCAGTGGAAACATAACATCAGAGAGCAAAATAATTCAATCATAACTTTATCTCTCCTGGTCTATGTCACGGCTGACAGATGTTTGAATAAAAGTTCATCCTCCTTCGTGGTTCTGCTTCAGCTCCAGGGTAATTGCATTAAGAAGTCATAATCCCTTGTTTCCGATACCACCATCACCCACAAGGCAGACTTTTAAATAAACCCAACAGGACACAGAGCAATTTGCAGATTAGGAATTGAAATTGCCTTGCAAGCCCAGTGCTGGTAGTCACGAAAGCTGCCTAAAAGGCAAGGCATTCAAGAATTCAAGAGGGCAAGGAATTCAAGACTTCTAATAGGAAGAGTATCATTTGAACAGTAGTATATTTATATCATGCCATAACTGCACTCTACATTTGCGCCAGGTTGTAATGGAATTAAGGTAGTTCAAAATGATGAAGGACATTTGAAGATATTTTCGAAGGTTTTCAAAGAAGCCTAATTCCCTGTGACTTTGATGCAAAATCTAGTCCTAAGCGTTCTATCTTGCAAGGGCATACAGGGTTATAAAACATTACCCAAAAGTCGATAGTGCTGTGGATTTAATACTTCCCCCACTGAAAACGTCAAAATCACACCTTGGGTTTTTCTGGCATCTTAAGATCATCTTTACTGCCACAAGTTCCTCCCTATAGCTCCCTAGTTTACCTGCCCATGCACTTTGCAAAAAATATTTAGGCATCGTAACGCCTCTAAAAATTGAGGCCCTGCTCTCTCTTATCTCCAGGGGATTCCCCTTGGCATTCTCATAAAACAGGCAGGACTGGACGGACCTCAAGCCTGAGGTCTCCCCTGCCAAGGGAGCAGTAATAGCAGGACCCATCTGGACACAAGAGTTTTCATTCACACCACCACCAGGCTTTCTTCATGCTGCGTGCACCGACTAATTTACTTAAGTTGAGATATATAGCTGAAGAAGATAAAGAAGAGGGCATTTAGGAAAGCAGGCAATGCAATCAAGACAAAGTGCATTTAAGATGCAACTGTTGAACAACAGGAGGTGGGGGAGTGCGAGTAAGTTCTCTGGATCAGATGCTAGGAAACGGGCTCCAAATTTAGAAATTCAGACTTGTTTTCATCTGCAGCTGCTTGCTCTGGATTACGTTGTTCTTAAAGACGCTTCAGGGCTGAAGGAACGCCTGCTTTTGATGTGGCCCAGACTCCAGAGGGGGTTACACAGAGACTCCGTGCTGCCTCTGGACTACCCGTGAGACACCCTTCTCTTCTTCAGTCTAGCTCCGAAGCTCTTAAGCAGGAAAAATTCTAAATTAAGTGAATGAGAAACCCACTGTGGCGACAACTTTTCGACAGCACCCCCCAAGAAGAAGGGTATGCCCTCGCTCGGCTGCTGTGTAAATCCCCCTCAAGCTACCGCACCCGGTCCCGCTGTCGCTGGCCCCAGCAGCTCGCACTTTCCAGGGTGCCCAGCACCCGCAGATGCCCTGGGGAACCCGACCCACGCCTGCT